ATTAATTTTACGTTGTAGACTAATTCGAGTTGGAGCCAAGAGAACAATATCATCTGCATATAGGATATAATGAAAAGTACATCCATTTATAGAAATACCTTCATTTTCATTATTATATAAGTCGTCAATCTCGTTTATGTAAAAATTGAACAGGTAAGGCGATAGAGGTTCTCCTTGGAGAATTCCACGATGAATTTTTAAATTCGGAAATATATGATTATTATGGACAATATTAACTGTATATGATGAAAATAAATTTTTTATCAAGTTACAAAACTTGGTTCCAGCGCCTTTCTTTTTTAATTTGTTTAGCAGGGTAGGAACATGCACAGAGTCAAAGGCTTTAGATATATCGATAAAAGCTGAAAAAATCTTTCTTCTTTTTTTTTGCAGATATATTTGAATAATTAAAGTTAATAGGAAAATAGCCATCTCGGTACCTTTTGATTTTGAAAATGCATATTGGAATTTTGAAATTAGACCCTGCTTCGATAACCATTCTCGAAATCTAATAGTGAATATTGAAGTAAAACACTTTCTAATTACAGATAATAAAGCTATAGGACGATAATTGTTTGGTTCAGATCGGGTTCCCTTTTTATAGATCATAAGGATTTTCGCCAGATTCCAAGAATTTGGATAAGTAGAATTATTATAAAAATGGTTATAGAGTTCAAGTAATACCTGCCTGCCCGTCGGCGGAAGAAGTTTAAAAAATTTGGTGGTAATTTGGTCTGTTCCGGGAGCTGTTTTCATTTTTAAATTCCTGATTGATAATTCCAGTTCTTCTGGATATATTGGGATATCTAAAGCTTCATTAAAAGAAGTTTTTGTATCAGGAATATAAGCAACTGTGATTTCCGTAAATCTATTAAAAAAGTTATTCCATTTAGGCAAATCTATTTGTATAGATTGATCATAGTTCGGGCATCGTAATTTCTTAATCGTATTCCATAAGAATTCATTTGTTTTGTCTTCAAGGATTTTTTGTTGTATTTTTTTATAATAATTTGATTTTTTTGTTTTTAATAAATTTATATATGTATTTTTACATTGACGATATTGTCTAAATGCCGTTGGTGTAGATAGTTTTCTAAATTGATGTAGTGCTTTATTTTTTTTCAATCTTAGATTCATACAGTCTAAGTCGTACCATGGATTTTTTGGTCCTATTAATTTCGTATTTTTGATTTTTCTCGTATGGATATATTCTTTTATTATATTTATAAATTTGGTATATTTTTCATTCTCTTCATTTATTTCTTCTGACAGTAAGTATCTCATCTTTTCACTTATTTGCTCTTGAAAACGTTGGTAGTGATAGATATTTAGCTGATAAATTGGTATAATATAATTTTCATGAACCACATCTATTAGTGTAAAGTAAGAATTAATAGGAAAATGATCCGATAAGTCACAATTTAGTACTTGGATTTTGGAGCATAAATCAACTAGAAGTTCTGAGCATATAAACAAGTCTATTGTAGAGCTTCCTGAAGTGGTTATACACGTAAACTCGGATGGATAATCGTTTTCTATTCTACCATTGAGAATATATAGTTGTGCTTGAGTAGTCATTTTTATTAAGTCAAGTCCCATTTTATTTGATTTAATATCTTTGGATTTGCGAAAATTTTGGATTTTTTCATTTGGTCCTTTATATATTAAATCCATGTTTTGTGCTATACGGGCGTTGAAATCTCCAGTTATTATAATAAAAGGAAAAGCTACTCTTAAAGATTCATATATCCGAAATATTTCAAAAAGAATATTCTGTTGTTCGGGAGGAACATATACTAACATAATAACCAAAATTTTATTTTTCAAATTGTTTGTTTCTAGACTGTTAGTTCGTAGATGAGCAATAATATAATTGTTATTTTTCTGGGTATATATAATTTCTCCCAATGATTTTTTAATTATTAAACCTAAACCCCCAAAAGGACGTCCCGGTCCCTTTGGTTTTTGAGCCATTTGCGTAATTATATGATAATTTTCATTCTGTTTGATCAATGATGTAGGAAAAGTTGTCATCCAAGTTTCTGTGATTGCTATTATATCAGATTTCTTTATCATCAATATAAAGTCTTTTGTATTAATTTTACTCTTTAGCCCTTGAGAGTTCCAATTAGTTATCACAAGCTGGGAGATTATATAGTTAGAGGTAGAATCAGGAAATTTTCCGTTATTATTATATTTATTGGGTAAAGAATTTAGTAGTTGGGTCTTCTTAAGATTTAGTTCTTGTATAGGAGTAGTTAAATTGGACCTTTGTCATTGAGTAGAATTCTCTGTAATAAAAAATGGTTTGAAAGAATCCTGGAGTACCAACCCTTCCAATACATAACTATATGTCAAAGAAAATTTATCCAACAGTATGGTATCGCCTCGAAGTTTAGGATCTTTGCCAGTTTTTCTTAATTCACTTAGAAAAGGAATTAGTTGTTTCCGTCTTGTTCTAGATCTTTTAGTGAGGTCTTGTGCTATTTGAGTGTCTTTCCATTCGTTCTGTATATTTTGTTGTTTCATTTTTACAAATTTTGAGTAAATATAATCTCTTATTTGGATATTTTTAATGATTATTTTAATTGTTGGATTCTGTGTTTTTGTTATCGGAATAATTGCTATAATATCGTCTATTGTGATTTCCTGTAAATCTAATGTTTCATTTATTAAGTTGAACACTTCTAGTTTAGTAGGACTTTTTTTACTTGGATATCTAAATAACATTATATTATTGCGGTGTTGCATATTAATCATATTGTCCATTTGGTATTGCATATTTTCGTTTTCTATTTTTAAAGTATTAATTTGTTGTTCAAGATTTATTATTTTATTATTCATTTTTAGATTTTGATTTTTAGATTCTTGAATATTATTGCGTATCTGGTCCAGATCTTCTTTAATAATGGTCATTTGGTTCAATATTCTAGTGTTAGAATTGTTAATTAGTTCTGAAATTTTGTTCCATAGTGTCATGCTCGCTATATCGGATATATTTTCCAATTTTCCTGGTGAAGAGGATAGCATATCCAATGACTCACCTGATAGTTGCGTCCTTGGAAGTGTCGTTTCAGAGTTCAAATTTATATTTGTCGAGGATGTTTCTGGAGAGATTCTTTCGACATGAGTATTGTAGTCTGTAATTAGCTTGGTATTAGCAGTCGAAGCAGATTCTTTCCTGTTAACTGACTTTGATCTTTGAAGTGGTGGTCGACCTCGTTTCACCGGCGAACGTTGCATATTAATTATATTATTCGACTAACCAACACTGATAATAATATTGCACAACACAAAATCAAAAAAATTAACTAGTTTTAATCTGTAGAATAAGTTCTTTGTCTGTTTTTGAGGTGTACAGAAAAATACGCCAACAGCCTCGGCTGACTGAAGCGCCCCCCTATAAAATGAATTTTTAGATAAGTTTTGAATTTATTATACTTTATGTTGATTTATATTTAGGTGAAACATCTTTCCCAAGAATGGGCAAAAAATGCTGCACTTCCATCTCATGTTGCATCTACTTTGAATAATTTTCCATCTAATCTCCATCCAATGTCACAGTTTAGTGCTGCAATAACTGCCTGTAATACTGAAAGTAAATTTGCAAAAGCATATAGTGAAGGTGCAAAGAAGACAACATATTGGGAGGTATTATTCATTACATAAATATATTCAATATTAATATACCATTTTAATGATTTGTTTAATAATTTGAAGTAATTTATAAATATTAAAGATCTGATAATTAATTTATCAAAAAACTTTCTCAAGAAACTGACTGAAGTTATTTATTCTAATTTGATTGTAATAGAAAAGAATAAATATCTTCAGTTGATTTGTTGCAAAGAATTGAGAAGTATCATTTTAAAATTTCCTGAACAAGGAATATGTTATGTTCATTTCAAAAGTTTGTTTGAATAAAGAAATTATACCTGTTTTCTTATTATTAATAGTAAGCTAATTTATTTTTTCCAGTATATCTTTGATGATGCCACAAATTTAATTGCAAAGTTGACACCAATGGCTGCAACTATTTATCGTAATTTATATAGAGATGGTAGCAGTATCGGTGCCATTGATGTCAACAAAGATTGGTCTGCAAATTTTACAGCAATGTTGGGTTACGATAATCCAATTTTCACTGAATTAATGCGATTATACCTTACAATACATAGGTGAGTTGCTTTTGTGGCTACATACATTTATATTAGAAATATATATTTTCCTTTCTTTTTCAGTGATCATGAGGGTGGCAATGTTAGTGCTCACACAACTCATTTAGTAGGAAGTGCTTTGTCGGATCCTTATTTATCATTTGCAGCTGGAATAAATGGTTTGGCTGGACCACTTCATGGTTTAGCAAATCAAGTTAGTTGAAATATTCCAATTTTAGATGAGAATTTTTAACAAAAGTTATTAAATAGATCAAATTTTATCCTGTAAAATATAAATTTGTAAATTATATTCATAAATGGACACAACGACTTTAGCAATAAGATTGCAAATTTACCAGCTTTCTTATTACTGATAAAATGGTAAATTTTCAAAATGTTACTGACTTACTGGTAATTTTTAAATTTTTAATTATATAAAATAAAGCAAGTTTTTTTTAATTTACTTTTATATAATTTTAATAACAGCTGTTATGTAAATAATTTATGTAACTTCATTATATTCACAAACATATAAAATTAAAGAAATCATCTGAAAACAAGAAATGTTTTCCATTATGAATACCCCTTGTCTTTTTTTTTTAACTAAAAGTACTTTAAAATTAATAACTATGATTCAGCATCAAATATATTTTAAATAGATAATAGACAAATAGTATATTGCTAGCTGTTACGTCCGTATTTATAAAGTACGCTTTGCAGTAATTGTTACACTCAGCATTATTAATCATAACTTTCTAAAATGTATGTGGTAAAATCCACTTTATGAATATCCTGATAATGTTCTTAAACTACATGGAAAATATGTCTTTGTAAATAGAAAGTTTATTAAAAAAAATTACTACAGTTAGTTCTGTTTATTTTGTTATGGTAATATGACACATGGATCACGGGATTCCTCCCAGGAGTTTTATGGAAAACGCCCTATTTAGGTGTTACTAATGTAAAGAAAACCCAAAAAACTGCATGTGGCCAGCCCATTGGCAATGTGCAAACCCATGCCCAACTACCAGTGTAACAATTTTGACCCTATGCAGATAAGTGCTATGTCCTACTCATCAAAATAATAATATAGTGCATCTGCTTCACACTATATCATTGTCACAGTAACTAAGTGAATATACCATAATATTTGCTTTTTTTAAGTATATTTTCTTTTATATGAATTATATTTAGTTTATTATTTTGTCAAATTTTTGCAAATAGATGGCATTGTGTGTAAATCAGCAAATTGAATGTGGATAGAAATTAATTGATTTACAGAAATTCAATAGATATTTCAGTGTGATAACATTATCTAAGTTAGAAGTATGTTAATGTAACTACTAAATTTTGTATTAATTGGTCAAATGGCCTAGGAGTGTATAGAGAATGAACAAACAAACAT